AGTGCGACCCTATTGGCACCACAATTCACATCGCTACCGTTCACACCACGACCAACATCATCACCGCTGCCAGCAACACGGCTGCTGTCCTGTTGTAAGCGCTGTAACATCTGTTCCTTCGCTGCGTCCAATATCTCCTCCAGGAGAATCACGTTGCCCTTGCGTGTGCTCAGCCCCGTCACCAGGCCATATGAGATGTGCTCGCAACGTGATGCCACACCCTGCCCGCCAGGCACTGACGACAGCAGCACCAAGAGCTGCTTGAAGTGCAGCGCCTGCTCGTACGCAACCACATACAGATGCTTGTCAAACCGCAGCTGGTTGTGTTGTGTCGTGTTGTGCGTGTGTGTGTGTGTGTGGGGGGGGGAGGATGAGGTAGATGTTAGCTTTTGATACCACGCACGCGGGCCACGATGTGAGAGAGAAAGTGTGTGTGAGGGAGTGAGAGCAGCACTCATGAACGCACACACACAGACACGCAGACACACACACATACATACATACATACATACATACATACATACATACATACATACATACATACATACATATATACATACATACATACATACAGACAGACAGACAGACAGACAGACAGACAGACAGACAGACACACACACACACGCACGCACGCACACGCACAGACACACAGACACACAACACACACACACACACAACACACACAAAGAAATGCGCTCACCGCATCGTGTCTGTCGAGGATGGCACCGAGGTCGCGCGACATATATGTGGTCGTGCCGTCACTCTTCTCCAAGACCACGTGTGATGCAGTCTCGCTGCTGCCGTCCGCACCAAACACATGCGCCACCAGTGCCCCGTTGTCCTCTCGCTCCACTCGTGGTGGCCGCTGGTGCGTCTGAACTGTCGCTGCATCCACACATGACACCGCACTTCGATGCCCACCCACATCATCACCACCACCAACACCACCAACACCACCAACACCATCATCACCATCACCACCACCAACACCACCAACACCATCCACGCCATTCGCCACACCACCGTCGTGCGCCTCCAGCAGCCTCACCACCTCCTTTGCCCGCGCCACGTGGCTGGACTCGCGGTCCATCTCGTCAAACCGCACCCCGAGCCGGTCATACAGCACGTCGCACGCCACCATGCTCTGGGCAGTGAAGGTGCGCCACGTGCGCAGGGCAGCGTCATCGCCCAGCTCAAGGCGATGCGCAAACAGCTTGGCCTCTGCCAGCAGCTCGCTCCCACCGCTGTCCCCACGTGCGCGTGCCGCCTGCTCCTCTTCTTCGACCACCTCGTTCGCTCGCACATACACGTCGAGCAGGTGTGCCAGGCCATGTGTCTCCAGCTTTGCGCGGGACCCGTAGCGTTCAAACCCCAATGCGACCAGGCCAATCTGCCGCCCCCAGTCACCGAGGTAGTTGGCGCGAACCACACGCGCCCCAGCAGCCGCATACATGTTGGCCAGGACGTTGCCGATGATGGTGCTGCGCAGGTGGCCCGCGTGGAATGGCTTGGCAATGTTGGGCGAGCTGTACTCCACCACCACCACCGGCGCACCACCACCTTGGTCTCGGTCCAGGTTGGAGCCTTGAGTCACAGAGGTGGCATCCGCTTGTGCTGCTGCTGCTGCTGCTGCTGCTGCTGCTGCTGCTGCTGCTGACGTTGCTGCTGCTGCTGACGTTGTGCTTGCCGTTGGATGTGGCGCTGGCGTCCGTGTCAACGACCCTGCCGCGCTGCTGCTGCTGCTGTTGTTGCTGTTGGCGCTGTCGTTGTTGTTGTTGTTGTTGTTGTCACTCGTTGTGTCAGGTTCATCAGCGTCGTGTGGATATGCACATGTCCAAGGCGCGTTGGCGATGGTCAGCGCTTCGCGCGTGTACGTCTCCCAGTCTGCGTGCACGTACATCTGTGCCCTGTGCTTCCCTTCGCCCACGTGAACGTGGAAGCCTTGCTCTTGTAGCGCTGCCTGAAGCCTGGCTGCAACCCCAACATCGCCGACACCACCACGCTGCTGCTTCTGCAGTGGTGGCAGCAAGACGACAAACTGCCCATCAGGGAGCACGGTGCTGCTGGTGCTGGTGCTGCTGGCAGTTGAAGGGCCTGCGGGCCCCTTGGGCACCGGCTTGATCCGGGCATATGCCACCGCCCGCAGCGCATCCTGCACGTTGACCCCGCTCACGCGCGCAGCAGCCTCTGCCACCACCCGCCGCAGCATGTGTGGGGTTCTTGCTTGGCGTGCAGTGGCGGTGTTGTGTGTGTGTCCGTAACCGCGTGCAAATCAACAACCAGAAAAAAAAAAAGAAAGCAAACACGACGACAAGCAGCAACAAGGTGGAAGATGATGAGGTGGAAGAGATGCTGCGTGCATGTGGTGCATGTGCTCTTGTGCTTCTGTCTCTCTGACACACACGCTCACACACATGTGCAAACATGCGCACACATGCGCAAACATGTGCACACATGTGAAGCAGGGAAGCATGTCGTCTCCGAAGAAAGGCCCTTCACGCCTGGTGCTATTGGGCACAGGCGCATCATCCAGCGTCCCAAACCTCGCCTGCCTCATTCGAAGTGAGCGCGCGCGCGTGTGTGTGTGTGTGTCTGTGTGTGTGTGTGTGTCTGTGTGTGTGTCTGTGTATGTGTCTGTGTGTGTGTGTGTATCTGTGTGTGTATCGACAGCCTTTGGCTCTCTCTGGCTCTCTCTCTCTCTCACTCTCTCTCTGTCTGTCTGTCTGTCTCACTCGCTTGTCTCTAAACATTGTCACGTACGCAGCGGAGGGGCCAGAGTGCACTGTATGCCAGGAGGCAGCCAGGAATCCCCTCTCGCGTAATCTCAGAGGCAACCCCAGCATGCTCATCCAATACCAACGTGGGTCGTGCTGCGTGCGTGCGTGCGTGTGTGTGTGTGTGTCTACATGTGTGTATCTACATGTGCACGCGCATGCACATCCATGTCTGCCTGTGTGTTTGAAGCTTCGCTCACCAGCAACCTTGACCTCGTGCGTGTGGGCAACGCAGACGACGATGGCGTGAAGAACATCCTGTTTGACGCCGGCAAGACATTTGCGTCCGCAGTGGCCCGCTTCTTCCCCAAGGTACAGTGTGTGCGTGTGCGCGCGCGTGTGTGTGTGTCTGTGTGTGTGTGTGTGTGTGTGTGTGTGTGTGTGTGTGTTAGAGCGTGATGTTTGTCTGCCTGGTGCTCGTCGTCGTGTCTTTCACACGTCTTCCCCGCCTTCCCCTGGGCGCCATGCCCGGTCTCCTCGCTAACATCGCTGCTGTTGTGCCCTTGTGATGTGCAGTTGGGGGTGACGGGCATTGATGCGCTCGTCATCAGCCACGACCACGCAGACGCCGTGCTCGGTACGTGTTGTATGTACACAGACACACAGACAGACACACACAAACACACACACACACACACACACACACACACACACACACACACACACACACACAGACACAGACAGACAGACAGATGGACAGAGCAACACAACACGCACACACACACGCACACGCACGCACACACGCACACACGCACACACACACACACGCACACACGCACACACGCACACACACACAGCGTATGTGTTCCCGCCATCCGCCCCGCTCACCACTTGCACTGCACCGCCCCAACACAGGCATCGATGACCTGAGGAGCGTGCACTACCTGACGCCGTATGAGGATGAGAAGGCGGGGAGGACAAAGTACGAAGTGGCCAAACCCATCGAGGCCTTTTGCTCTGACGAAACGTTCGAACGCATGCAAGGTAGCGTGAACGTGCGTGTACTGTGTTTTGTGGATGTGTGTGTGTACTGTGTGGATGTGGATGTGGATGTGTGTGTGTTGTGTGCATCATCGACTATGTTCCTCCCTTTTGCACATCTCACCTGCCAGGTGTGCCTGCCTTCCACCTCAGCCGTGTTTCCATATTTAATCCCAAAGAAGCAGATTGAGGCCATCAACGCAGGGGAACCAAAGCGGTCAGTACACATATGCGAGTGTGTGCGTGTGTGTGTATGTGTGCGTGTGTGTGTGTATGTGTGCGTGTGTGTGTGTGTGTTGTAAGTTCCAAGTCTCACACTCCATGATTACTCCACCATCCGCCCTCTCACTCCACTCCGGCCACCACCACCACCACCACCACCACCGCCACTCTACAGGTTCGTGTCGCGCATCAACTGGCACGTGGTTGCGAATCTGAGCGACCGTGACATTGACGTTGACCCGCCGTTCAGTGTCTTTGGTCTTGAGCTCCAGCCCGTCCGCATGATGCACGGTGGATCGTACATCTGTCTCGGCTTCCTCTTCGGCCCAAAGGAGTGAGCAAGCTTGTGCTGTGCGTCCCTGTGCGTGTGTGTGCGTGTGTGTGCGTGTGTGTGTGTGTGTGTGTGTGTACGTGTGTTGTGTTGTGTAAATACTGCGTGAGTGCGTGTGAGTGTGCTATATTTTGAATGCTTCCGTGTGTGTGTGTGTTGCGTGTGCCCCGACAGCCTTCACTGCGTTGTTGTCGTGTGGATGTGACACTGTGCCCTGTTTCCGCCATCACCTCACGCGTGACCTGATGTTCAACTTTCAGTGCTCGCATTGCGTATTTGAGCGATGTGAAAGTGTTCCCAAAGCCAACAATGGTGAGAACTGCATGCGATGATGTGGCGTTCGCCTGTTTGTGCGTGCGTGTGCGCGTGCAGATTTGTGTACACACGCGAATGCGGCTACGTGCGTGGCTCTCTCTCTCTCTCTCTCTCTCTCTCTCTCTCTCTCTCTCTCTCTCTCTCTCTCTCTCTCTCTCTCTCTCTCTCTCTCTCCCCCTGTCTATTGTGTCTTGTCATGATCCATCCCGCCTCACCCCGCTGCATTCACACCCCCCCCCCCTGTTCACCAGGATCTTCTCCTTGAAGCCAACATCGATCTCATGATCATCGACTCGCTCTACATCTCGGTGTGCGCGCGTGTGTGTATGTGTGTGTGCGCGTGCGTGTGCGTGCGTGTGCGTGCGTGCGTGTGTGTGTGTGTGTGTGTGTGTGTGTGTGTGTGTGTGTGTGTGTGTGTGTGTGTGTGTGTGTGTGTGTGTGTGTGTGTGTGGCGTGGATCTATAAATTATTATACTACTGGGAACAATCGACTGCTATAGAATAGAAATGGTCGAGAGACAAAT